AGTTATATTGAATAACTGATCGATTTGCAAGCGTATGTTTTGATATGATTCTACTACATTGACTGACTGATGTTATAGACTGATGTGATAGTTAAGACGACTATTAAAGAGATTTGATGATTTCTGATTTATTGAACTTTATGGATTTCTTCCTACTGTTTATTGATTCTTCTACTGTGGATTTAGGAGTTTACTGTTTCTTATTGATACTGTTTACGCATTGACTATTGTTACTGTACTGATTACTATTCATGCATTGATTTCCGTATCTGCATTGATTCACTGACCATGTGTAACTGACTGCTATGATTTGACTGATTGACATGCATATTGCTTCTGTGTCGTGCTTTGATTTCAGTTGTAGGCTTTGGTGACCTGCTGGGCTATTTAAGCTCATTATATGTGGTTAACAATTTCAGGTCAGAGCAAGGGAGCAGGAATGGTGGTTGATCAAGACTGTCAGACGAATCCTTTCACTATGGATGCTTGGGGCGTCACAGGAGATCCTCTCCCTAGCAAAGCCGTCCTACCTGTTCTACATCAATATGTCTTTTTAGTTCTTCCTACACTCTATCTCTCTCCTCAAAGTACTATCTACTGACAAGACAGGCGTGTTATACTGCCCTGACAATGAAATGTTGACCCAACAAATAAGGTCGCCATTTCCGGATGGCTAGCACAATTCCATAATCAGAAGCCCCTTAGGTGCTAAGAGAATGGTGATCATCCTATAGGAGCCATCTGAACTGTTGCCTCTGGCTCCTCTCTCATAGTACTTCTGATCCTCCACCAGTTGGGCTAATTCTATAGCCTCTCCCAAGTCACGAGGTCTCATGACTCTCACTTCTGCCCATATCTCTGATTTGAGCTCTTTCATGAAATTCTCCTCCAAAATAGTCTCAGACAGCCGATCCAGTTAACTCGCCAGTTACTCAAATCGCTCGCGATATTCTGCTACTGAGCCTTCCTGTACTAGGGAAAAGAATTGCTCATAGAAGTCCGCTCCTCTGCTGGTTCGAAAACATTTAAATAAGCATTTTTTGAACTCCCTCCAGCTCTGTATGGGCCTCCTCATGATTATCCACTAGTACTAAGCCAACGCCTTCCCTTCCAAACATAGGCCAACTGTCATTAATTTATCATCTTCCATCAAACCCTTGATGGCGAAGTACCTCTCTAACTTATAGATCCACCCATGTGCATCCTCTCATTCAAAGATGTGCATCTTCAGTTTTTGGACCTTCGGATCTCCCCCATTTCCTCTAAATCCTCTATAATTTCCCCTTCCCCAAGTGGATGGCCCTCCCCAAGTGTCCTGGTCCTCTCTTCCACGTTCATACCCAAACCCTTCTTCCATTTCCCTCCTTTCGTCAAAATCAGCATCTCTCCGGCCATAATCCTCCTCTTCCCTTTCCCAATCAACACCCCTTTTGCCCATACCCCACATACCCACGCCTCTCCCCATATTTTCCACCTCTCTCCTCCATTTGGAAAGGTTCCAAATAGGGTCTTCTTCCATCTCCCTCTACAATCTCCACCTCATTTTCATCCCTACAAATTTCAAAATTCATATTTTTCCCTTCCAACCATCTCGCCTATGATGCCACCATTTGGTTGTGGAGATCCAACATTTTCTTCATCATATCCTATAGATATGAGAATTGTTCTTCTATGGAGGAAATTCTATCCTCCACCGTTGCTTTGATTTGATTCATCTCCCTCTCAAGATGTTCTTCCAAAGCATCCACCTTCTTGGCCGCCATCATTACCCGGATCTTTGTTTGCCTCAAAAATCAGGAGTTCATCCCCAAAAACAGCAAAAGCATCCCTTCGAATGGAAAAAAAACTGTTGCAAGAATTTGCCAAAAATAGCTCGGACACTGCTCTGATAACAATTTGATAGGTAACGATTGTAGATTTCAAGCGTTTTGTATCAATATTGAGAAATCAAAGAGAAAACTCCACCAAACTCCAATAAAAAAATAAAAAAAAAGTAGATATTTTTGTATTACTGGATGAAAGGAATAGGAAAATACCAAGATACAATTGATCCTTTATTCGAGAGAAGGATCTCTCTCTCCCAAATCTCTAGATGCCGCTAGAGCCCAAGAATGCCAAGCACCAAAATAGAAATCAGCCACCCAAATGTCCTAACTCTAATACAAACTTTTACTTAAATCAGATAACACAATAATGCAAAAGGACTAAACAACCCCTCTTCAGAATCCTTTAGGAAGTGGACCCCACCCCAATAGGGGGGCTTGCGCCTGCTGTAATAAGTGGGCCGGCCCAATGGTTGGGCTGGATGGACCGGTCTATTTATATCAATTTCTCTCTATTTTAGCACTCTTGTATCTGCTATAAATTATGTATATTTCCTTCTTTGTGAATAAGAAAAAAAAATAGTTTTATATATCTAGATTATAACTTTTTTCTCTTTGTTTTCACACCAATATAAGAACATCTATCTCTTGTATTCTTCTGCAGTCTAAAAGTTGATGTCCATAGTAAAAGATAAAAATACATATATCCTTTATGAACTTTTCTCCACTGATGTAATAGCTAGAACAATCATCAGGTTGAATACTCGGGAACCAAAGAAACAGCAACCATCCTTTGTCTCACCAAAGCAATTGTAGTGGAAAGAATTTCCAGTTTAAAGATAATAATAGGCTCGATTGTAAATTTGTAACCAGCATCTTATGGCATATAAATTATCAAAAAACTTAGCAGCCGGCCTCAAATCATAAGTGCATCCCCACCTGGCAATCGAACAGATCATAAACAGTATTGAGATACACCAAGTCAAACTGATCACCACAAAATGATTGCGAATCTAGCTGCTAGATTCCCAAGCCTTATTAAACTAGAGACTAATTTCAGAATAATTTAATCAGAAAAAGGAGATAACAAGCCACAACAAACTCCTCCATTTAGATGAAATATTGATGAATGGAAGTTAATTATTTGTAATATCAACTGAATGCTCTTTAGATTCAATTTGTGTATTCTGTGCTCGGATCTCTCTAACTTGTCCGTTCCTATCAATTTTGTTATTGAAGCCAAAAATTAAAATCCTCCTTTGATTTTTGTCAGTCCTAAGTTCTTAGGTTGTACCTGTCATCCTGCTCAAGCTCGTCTCTCTTTCTTCACATTTAATTAAAAACATGTCAGATAAAACCTAAATCATATGAAAATTTTTTATTTAGTTTAACTTGATGCAAGCGAACTACAAATCCAATGCCAAAAAACCTGCATTAGTGATTACTTCCATAGTCCCTACTTGATTATTAGCAAAATAATTCCACATTGTAAAAACCTTTAATCACTAACCTGAACAATAGACAAGAGTGAGTCAACTCCATCTAATGAAGATGTTCTAATTGGCACTCCTATAACAGGCAAGGGAGTCAATGAAGCCACCATGCCTACAAAATTTCAGATCTTTGAAAAATCAGCGAGATATCAACTCAATATATATCTAACAAATGTGCTTGTATATTTTCTATAGTTCCCCTTTTTTATTCTTATTAATTTAACAAACTAACCTGGTAAATGAGCGGCACCACCTGCACCAGCAATGATGATTTGAATGCCTCTTTCTTTTGCAGACAAAGCAAAAGAATACATTCTTTCAGGCGTTCGATGAGCTGAAACAATTGTAATCTGCATTAAAGGGATTAAAGAAAATGTGTCGAGACATTAATAGCTTTTCCAACCAATCCAGAAACTTTTTTTTTTAAAACCATGAACTAAACGAACCTCAAATGGCACATGAAAAGTATTCAAGATTTCTGCAGCATCCTTCATTGTCGGAAGATCAGAATCAGAGCCCATAATAATGGCAACTTGAGGCGTGTCTGTACAAAATACTTATTACGATTATCAATTCAAAAAATACATGAGACTTTCAAGCAATAAATTAACTGGCACTCCAACAATTTGGAAGATTTCAATGCATCTAATACATTAAAAACGTTTCTCCTAAGAATATCCCTTCTCGTGGTATCACAAGTTATTGGCACTAAGAAAATGCATGAGAAGCCCTAGTTTTGTAATATGAAAATAGTCTTGTAAGGTGTTTGACTTTATGCTCCAACAAAAGCCCTCAGAGGGACTCATTGGATGCTTAAACCATTTGAGAAAGTGTATAAAAGGCTACAACCAAAACAAGATTACAAACATAGAACATTATCAAAAGAATGAGTAGTTAAAAATGTTGTCAAATATAACTAAATATAACCACCAAGATCATTGTACTCTCCCCATTTATCAATTTTGTTTAAATTTGATCAACATCATTCATAAAAGAGATGAAAAGAAAAATAAAATAAAACATAATAGAAAATTTATTTCTTAATGGTAGAGAACTATGTCGAGGAAGGGTGGAATGGCATTGACAAATTAAGCAATCAACCTGGAGTATTATTTTTGATGCTCTTTCGGTTCAACATCAAATCCAAGTTTTTTCTGACATGGCTTCTTGAAGGGCCTACAAGTGTAATATGTCCCATCTTCCGCAGCTTCCGCATTTCTACATTATTAAATAGATATGTAACATTAAGATTGGAACATAACATAAAAGCTTTGAGGAAAAAATTGCTCGACAAATGTTTCTAACCTGGTTTGTCATACCAATGAACTGTAGCTCCAGAAATGCTTAATGCTTTCTTCATTAGTTGATGAGCTAAATAGAACCCTCGCTCTCCCTATGTCAAACAAATTTACAAATTTAACAAGGCATAACTTTTTTTTTTTTCCTGTGAGTCGTGGCTTAATAAACTTACTAATAAATTCAAGGTCGGCCTACAGATATACAACAGTAAGAAGAACCTATAAATATCTTGACTCTTAGATTTTAAGATACTTGTTTACAGTGAAGCAAAATTAATTTAGGCTTCGTTTGGAAGGCTTTCTTTCTGCTTCTTAAAGCAGCTTTTTAGTATAAATTTTTTTATTTTGTACTAAAAAGCTGCTTTGAGAAGCAGAGAGAAAGTCGTCCCAAACGACCTTACTTCGCAGGGTTAAAAAAAATACCTCCTCCTCACCAAGTATGTTGTACATGATTGCAGCAGGGGTCTTCATGGACGTCTCCCCTAATGGAAGACCTATAACAGCTCTTAGGTGCTGCTCATATTGAGAGGTATAGCAAGACTCAATCGTGTGATGCCCACTATTATGGGGTCTAGGAGCTACTTCATTTAGCAAAACCTATTGAAAAGATAGTAAGCATTGAACATTAGCATATTGAAATAATATGAATCAAATGTAACAAACTAAGACTTTGTTTGGGACTGCTTTCTTGCTGCTTCTTAAAGTAGCTTTTAAGTATAAAAATTTTAATTTTTAAACTAAAAAGCTATTTTAAGAAGCAATAAAAAAGCCATCCCAAACGAAGCCTAAGCCTAACAAGTAGCGCCACCTCCCACACCAAACAAAATAGCCCTAAGATGCAGTGAGCATATTTGGGTAGAAAACCCCACCTGCCCATCGTTTGTTAAAAATAACTCTACTGCAAAAACCCCCGCGCCCTCTAGCGAACTAACAGCTCTACGAGCAATGTCGACAGAAGACTTCCTTATTTTTTCAGGTACATCAGCAGGAGCTTCAACAATGTGACAGATGCTATCTCTGGAAGAGCAAAAATTCATATAAATTTTTTAGGTACAAAGTGAAAAGAATGATTGCTTGGAAAGAATGGTAGAATATTCATCTTAAAAAGACCAGTTTTTCGAAAAAAATAAAATAAAGAACTTTTTCCAAAGCAAGCAAGGAACTTTGTATCTTACTTGTGAATAGTTTCAACCACAGGATAGCATAAAACTGAGCCATCCCTTCCCCTTGCAACAATGACTGCCAGCTCCTACATCAAAGAGAGAAAATGCTAAAGATAAGAAATATCATTGTATTTGCACCTAAGTTCTCAAACTGCAACAAGAAACTATGCAAGCAACACAGTTAATTAAAAGGGCAGAGGGTATGAAACCAACTGAAATGGCATAATTAGTACAAAAAAGTGAATATATTGCAGGATGGATTTATATTAAGAGTATTCTTTAATTATAAGATATCAGTAAAAAACTTCCTTCATACAAATCTATGTGCTAAAACTTAAATTTTAAGCAGAGCAGCATTCTGCTTTAGTAGCAAGTTAAAGAAGATAAATGCAAGATAAAATGGCATTTTCTTTAAAAAAAAAAAGCATTCTGAGAATTTATGAGGTTTCAATTCATGTAACATAGTTAAGAAAATTGAAAGAATACCTTTGTAAATGAAGTCCATCTCTCAACATATAAGCCGCGTTCATATCCACCGAGTGCTGCAAGATGATTACTTGGTAATAGTCAAGGGTAAAAAAATTACTTTAAATTGAGTTTCATTATTTCATATATTCAATTAAAGTCCATAGCAAAGACATCACACAATATTTCGCTTCCATACAGACAAGAACCAACAAATTATCATTAATCTTATTACCAGCAATAGCAGAAGGAAGCTCTTCTTTACAATGTGCTATAGCATTTCCGCGCCCATCATAAGCTTGCCTTCTACTTTTAACCATCATAGGGAAACCAAATAAATTGGCTGCTTCTTCAGCACTTTCAGGGTTATCCATCTGCTAGGATTCATGTATTCATAAGATTAAAACCTGTTAATTGAATTGTCTACTTAATGATCTACAAAAGAACAAAGAAGAGACCTTTAGAAAATCAGGAAGGGGGATCCCATGCTGTGAAAAGTGAACCTTCTGTATATATTTGTCCTGCAATAAGTCACAGCAGTTATAAAAAGTTGGACCACCTGTATTAGAAAAACACACCTCATGACATCTATCTCACAATCAGAGTTTATCTTATCTTCACAACAAACAAATTGGAAGCTCTAAGGGATGCTTTCCGAATGATCATTTGGAGGAGCATTAGTTAGCATGACAATGAAAAACAAATGAAGAAGCTTTCTAGCACAAAAGAGCATGATAAACCAAGAAAAACTTAAGCTTCAAATAAATTCTTAGTTAATATGCTTTTTTCCTCCATTTCAATGTCATTGTAATCAGTCTAACAATTGGATATCCTGTGAGTAGATGACTAGAAGCCACCAAATTACGGGGATTTAATGCATGACTTTTGATTTAGAGAATTTTATAATCTTATTTATTTAAATTGAAAACTCTTTGTTTAGATATAATTGAGAGTTTTAATCAATTAATTCCTAAATTAAAATGAATTGCATGTAATTGGGGTTCTTGAATTTACAATACTATATTTAATATGCTAAAGTCTTACACTGAGTAAAGCAGTTCTGCTATTATCATGGGATCATCAATTATTATATTAGTGATGAAGTGTAGAGGGATCGAGAAGAGTATGGAGTGACATTCGTTTTAGATTAAGCTGGCATTGACCTATGTTTTTTGTTTGTCATGAAGGGATTGATAAGTCCCACAAGAGACTCATACTATTTTGTGAGGAATTGGTTCATTTAGATAAGTTATTATGATTTAGTTGTAAATGTAAATTTAATTCATTTGGATATATAATTACGATCCATTTGGAAAATACATTCATCTGGACATCAGGATTGGTCATTCTTATCTAGGTAGATATGTAAATCTAATTAATTTATGTATATGATTTTGGACTGAACAAACTGTTATACTAATATTTTGATATATATTTATGATATTTTATTTTTGATTAATGACATTCCATTGATGTTTTGTTTTGACATGTGATTCTGAAAATGTAATTTGATATTGACCTTTCTAATCTATACAATTTGTTTTGATCTGCTATTTTCTTTAGTCTGCCTACTTTGACATCAGAGATTCTCTCTCTTATCCGATTTATATCATGATTGTTATAAATGTATAATGGTATATCAAATTAATTTCTTTCTGATTTTTATAGTATGGGTATGCATCATATTAAGTTGGAAACTCACTCATTTCACTGAATCTTTCGATTTTAGCATAATGGCAAGTGGTGGCTAGCTTGGACATTTGCGTTGGAAAGAACCATTCTAGTTAATTAGTGGGATCAGGTTTTTACTTTTGGAAATTGGTGTTATATTGATCTGCGCAAGTGCTAATGGCGTAGTCAAGAGTTACCACTTGCTGTGCTAGTAATATTATAATTTCACTATCATTTAGCAAAACTTACTTTCAGAAGCAGATTCATACAAATATAGGCTTTGTTTGAAACGACTTCCTTACTGCTTCCTAAAACAAGTTTTTAGTAAAAAAAATTAAATTTTGTACTAAAAAATTGCTTTAAGAAGCAATAAGAAAGCCGTCCCAAATGAAATCATAATCTTGACCATAGTATACAACATCTCTGCAATAAAGATAGGTAGCAAACTTACTTGGATTATTCTTATTGTGGACGGTTTTGGCTGGCAGTCTACTCCTTGTTCCTCCAGTTTTTCAAGAGTAATAGCATCAACATGTTCAATCTCAATAGTCAGCACTCCACATCTATGAAGCAAAGAAAAAACAGGCTAATGTTCAAAAATATTTGATGCTACTGTAATTAATTTATTTCATTCCATGTTAAAACATAAATTTGATCCTTTACTTCTTTGAAAACTCACGAACTGCATCACCGTCGTCAAATCTGCCTACAAAATGTTGATAGGACAGAGAGCTTGCGGGAGAATTTTCCAAAGGATCCAAAGTCACAACCTTAATGGCCATGAGACTTGCAGCTTGACATAACATCCTACCTAACTGGCCTCCACCCAGCACACCAACAATAGTTTCAGAAACTCCATGGATAGTAGAGTCCTCATTTCTACATGCAATTTATGTGAAAAAACAGTTAAAAGGTTATACTTCATAAAAACAAGAACATTTTCATAAAATAGATAGAAGGCCATAAATTTGACAAACTATTTTTCACAAATTTATTGATCGTAAAATAGAAACTCAAAAGTCACATTTCACAATGAAGTATCAAAAAGCTTCTTAATAAACATGAACTTGATTTAAATTCCACATGTTTCATTCTCCAAAAAAGAAAAAAAAAATGTTAAGATTTCTTTTCGTAGTACAAACAACTTAAAGCAACCTTGCAACAAAAAAAAGGATGACCATTCGGTGGAGAAATTATTCTGTGAAGTCCGGACGAGAAGAACCATCCGGAATGTGGTGTGCGTACACATGTGTGTACAAAAAGTTGATACACACCGTGTATAAATTCGTACACAATATGTACATTCACATGTCCGGGCGATTCTTCTCATCCCGACCCCACACAATAATTTCTCCATTTAGTGAGACCAACTTACAGACATAAAACAAGTAAAAAAAGAGCATCCCGCGGCAGCCCACACTAAAGGAAAAAGTGAACACAGTTCAAGCTCCATTACTTTGTCTAGATTTCTCCGAGGAATTGCTACTTTGCAATGTCAGAAATCACTTTGGCAGGATCTTTTTGACAAGTGAAATTCAGTAACAAAACCAAAGCTCATTTATGAAATCTAGTATTAGAATTTAGAATCAATGTATAATAGTTCTTCTCCTCTTGCTGTTTGGCTGTCTACTCGCTACACCTCTCCGTGGAAACCTCCGTCGCCTCTTGCAAGTAAATTCTGGCTTTCTATTGTAAAACTGCTGTGTTGGTGAAGGATAATTTCAGATTTTCTATCACACCAACTGCTCCTATTGCTTTGTTTTGGGACAATTGGTGTGATAAGCATTCCTTGTGTGACTTATTTGGTAGTGAGATCTTGAGCTGGATGCATTTATCTTTGCTGAGAAATTACATTGTTTATGGTGTTTGGAATTTACCTGTTGATTTGCCTCATAATATTAGGGATTTCATTTTGAGCTTTCCTATTCTCAATAGCTCTGGTCCCTGTTTAAGATGGAAAGAGTTGGCTAAGGTTAAATTCAGTGATTTTTTGGAGGAATTCTATAGTTCTTTTCCGGCTTGCCCCTGGGATACTCTTGTCTGGCATCAAAAATATAGTCTTAAACACTCTGTTTATGTGTGGCTTGCACTGGTAGGTGGCTTAAAAACTCAAGATGCATTGAGAATGCGCAACATTTATGTGCCTGAAATTTGCTCTTTATGTCATAACGAGCCGGAATCTGTTAATCACTTATTTTTTGAATGTTCATATGGGTTTTCTGTGCTAGAGTCTCTCCTTCCTGCCACTAGAGAATTCCTGTTAAGGCTCACTGTTCTTCATCTTTTGCAATGGCTGGATTCGGATTTTGTGGGTACTTCTCTTTATAAGAAGTTTTGTAAGCTGGTTGTATGTTGCACTCTTTACCATATTTGGAGAGAACGTAATAGCAGGAGATTTGCTAATGAATATAATAGTATTAATTCCCTTAAAGCTATTATTAAAAGGGTGATTAATATTAAAATAGCGAAGTGGAAAGACAGAGAGCTGGTTGTGGGCAATATCTGTTAATGAATCTGGTTTTTCCCTTATTGGAGCTGTGCTGGACTGGTTAGACTGGTTGGTTGGCTGGGTGTTTTTTGTAGCCAGGACGATGATGATGCTCCGTGTATTGAATATGTTCTTCCTTCCCCTTGGACGGCCTCTTGGCAACTAGGGGAATGCTTTTTCTCAGCCAAATTTTATTTTTCTGAGTCCTCGGCTACACTGGTTCTGGAGCTTGGATCTTATATCTGATTTTGTTGCCTGCTCCATTACGTTGGTTTCTTACATTTGCTGGAAGACTGTTTGTTTCTTTTACAGGTTCTTCAATTTTGCTGCAGCACTCTTTGAAGCTATCTGGGCTTCTCTGTGGGGAGATTCGGTTGTTGTGATCATGTTCTGCTTTTACCACTTTTTCGAGTACTTTTTTGTGTAATTTGGGTGGTATAGTTGGGGTTTTAAATTTCTAACCTACATAAGTTTTTGTTTTTTGCTTATGTATGGTAGTCTTTACTTGTAATCTTTTTACTTGTAATTGTTCCTCTTATTTTAATATAGGGGCTTAGGCCCAAAATTTCCCAAAAAAAAAAAAAAAAAAAAATAGAAGCAAAGGAAAAGAAAGGGAAACAATAGGCTTGGAAGTACAGATTTTCCTTTTGACTAATTTTAGCAAGCCACTAATTCAAACAAGGCTGACATTCATGAGTAAAGACTTCTTGCAAATCACATCTAACATTTTTTCCCACCAAAACACACATGAAGAGGGTTAGTCTTGAACTGATACATTCTACTCCTAATCAGATCCTTGAACCTTGTATAAGTAATCGGATTCTTCTAGCAACTAAGAATCAGCTTCCAAGTTACAAAATTCATAGCTTTGACAGATAAACTCCAACAAAAAAGCATTACAAACCTACCATATTCATCCCAAACACGTTGCAAAATAATCAAACCCAGTCCAGAAACCTAAAGCGTCAAACAATTACTTGAGCCCCACCAATTGGTTTCAATAATTCAAACTTCTACAAAACTGATGTCCAAAAGCTATAAAATTTCAAAATTGTATACTGCAGAAAAGCTCACTACCCAAAAATCAAGGAACATTTTCACACTTCTACTTAAGTGCAATGTATTCGAAGAAATGCGCAAACGAATCGCAATCAGGACTACAACAACCGGAACCACTTACCTATGAGATGATGAACCATGGCTATCGCTTTGGAGAGTGGCTTCCAATTTCAATGATCGAATCCCCGACGGCGATGCCATTCTGTAACTGTGCCGCTGGACCAGCCCAAGTGTGCTGTTTTCGCCGCCGAAGTAGAATCTGGAAGGAGCGGCGAGGTTAGGGAGACCGCGCTTGCTCGATAGAGTGAAGGAACAAGGTGTAGCAGAGCAAAGTAACATTTCAAGTGCCGGCTTTGCAGCTAAAAGATGGAGCGGGCTCTTGTTGTGTAAAGCCGCTACACTGTGAGGACTGGAAGAAGATTATCAAGCAGCGGCCTCGGGCGACGCAACGGCTGCAGAGATAGCCGCCAGAACACGTTGGCGGTATGAAGTTGGCCGAGACGTAGACCGGCGGAGGCTTTGATAAGGAAAGCAGGGCGGCGGCGGGATTTAGCAGAAGAACGCGGGAGAGGCGACTAGCTAAACAAAGATCAGGGCTTTAGCTCCCGTTCTTTTTATTTTATTTTATGTTTTTTATTTTTTTTTCAAAAAAATTTTGAGAAATAGGTGCGCCATATTTATTTATTTAAATGATTAAATAAAATAAATAAATTTTAAATATTACATATAAATGATTTTTTTTCTAACTATTTATATGATCTATTATTTCTATTTGTAAATTTATTAATTAAAATTTTTATAAATACTTCACTAAAAATGAAATTAATTTCTTGCTTAATGAAGATTAATATCTTATTATCAAAATTTATATATTAATAAATAATTAATATTTTAGAGGTATATAATAGATGAAAATATTACATAAATAATATAAAATGCAAATTATTAATATTTTAACTTCATCCAATAGCATAAAAAATTCTTGAATGTGTTATACTAATTTTAATAAATATTTGTAAATCCATTATTGTCTACTAATGACCCTATTATCAAATCATTAAACAAAAACAAAATTTGCCCTTTATCTGATTACGTGGGTTAACAATATAAATCTTTTTTCTCTGTACGAGTAAAATTCCAATAAACAAATATCATTTCTAATACTTTCTAAATAATATTTCATTTGGGACAGTTTTCTTAATGCTACTCAAAACAGCTTTCTAGTGCAAAAATTATTTTTTGTACTAGAAAACTGTTTTGAGTAGCATTAAGAAAGTCATCCCAAGCAAAGCCTAAGTGTGTTTAAGTCTACCTCTGTCTATTTTAATATACGTCTGATCTAATACATCTACTCTTCTAATCAGATCATTTGAAGATTGACTGTTTAGGTGAACAAACCAAACTAAGAGTACTCTCTCTAATCTCATTTGTCATTGGAACTATTATAACCTCTAAATCATTATTATAAATATTATAATTAATTATGCTTAATTAAAATTTATTAAATAATATTGAACAAAATTTTAATAGGAGCTTAAATAGGATAGGGCTTGGCGATTCATTTATAACTTTTTATAAAATACCTTTGCATTACAGGAAATGAAAAAAATAATAAAAAATAATAAATGATTAGTTGTATTGTAACTTATGGCTGAATTTTTGTGATTTAAATTATATTTTAATTAAAATAAATTATACACTATTTAATATTTTGAGCTTTATTTGGTTATGAAAAATTGGGTTGGAACAAAAGAATTTAAATTTTTAAGAAAATTTAATTTAAACTTTTGAACCTTTTATCAATATTCTACTCTATTTCTATCACTTCAACTCTCATTAAAATTCATGTGTTTTGCTATAGGGGTGTAAACGAGTCGAACTGAGGTTGAGTTACGCTTAGCTTGAGCTTGATTTATTAATATCAAGTTTGAGCTCAAGCTGGAGTTTAATTTTAGAATCGGCTCATGAGACAGCTCATTCGTTACAAAAGAGAAAAAAAAATATTTTTATTCAAACAATTATTATAAAATATGACAAAAATAATAAGAAATTAAATGATATGTAATAATATCACATGAAATTAGTAAGAAAAATATTTTTTTGAACATTTATGTCAATTAAGGTGAACTCACACATAAGTTACATATGCATCGAAATTATTATGTGCGGAGACCGGAATGTGAGAACCATCTAGATTTGTTGTGCTTTTACCATTCTTTTGCAAATATTTGACAAAAGAGCAGCAAATATGCAATTAAGAATGCACTTTTGCCTAATATTTGTTGCGCTTTTACAAAAGTGCAGCAAAAGCGTAATTAAAGCCCATCAAATATCCTACTAATTGAATATTTGATGAGTTTGTGCTGCCATTTTGTAAAAGCACAACAAATACTCACCAAAATATATTCATAACTACATATTTGTTGTCATTTTGCTAAGTATTTGCAAAATGGCAGCAAAATGCATCAAAAAGCAACAAATCCATACGATTCTGGCAAACTTCAAACCCAATACTTCTTGGTTGAAAGCTGAAGTTCCTAACTAATAGATCAAGGTGAGTTATGTGCTAAACTCATTGAATCTTTTTTCATTTTAAAAAAGGATTTAATACTAAGATTTTTTAAACAAGTCGGCTCAAGCTTAAATGATTAGCTCCTCGAGTTTAGCTAACAAGCCATTTATCAAGTCATGTTGACTTAGTTATAACGTTAGATGTGCAACTTAATCTTAATTAAATAATCATCTTTATTTTTTTTTAAACTAGGCCAAAATGAATATCAACAAATTAAAAAGAGAAGGAATAAATGGAAAATAATAATGATTACATTTGTTCAAATTAATTTACAAATAATTAGGTTTAACATCACAAATAATACTCGATGAAAAAAAAAATACAAATTGAGAATACATAAATCATAAACCAAATAGTTAACATAAGACCAATAATGCTATTAAGTGAGATTAACTCACTTGAATTCATCTTGATACTATGTACTCCTACTATAGGGTCAGCGTGTCGGGTGCGGGTTGGGTTGACTCGGTTTTGGGGCGGGCTCGTGTTCGGATTTCTAACCCTTTTCTAGAATCAGGTCGGGTTCAGATTGAGCCAACTAAATCGGATCAGTTACTGATTTTGACCCGAATCCAATTTTGACAACCCTACTCTACATAACATAATATATATATATATATACTTATATAATAATTATATATTTAAATCATATAAAAATACCGCTAATATTAATTTTGTTAAAATAAAACACTTATTTTTATGCTTATTTTTTGATATGATTGAGATATATAAAAATTAAGAACTGTATTTCTCTTCTTAGTTCATCGGAATCCTCCTCTCTTATCACCACCATTAATCTCCTCTCTAATCGCCGGAATACAGCTCGAAGTTCTCATGATCACTCCCTTCTTCTTCCTCTTCCTCAAAATCTCTCGCATGGCTTCTGCGTGATATAACACAGGATGAGTTCTTCCTATACTGTTGAATCTTGAACATGAGCTCACGTGTTCATTTAGAGCTTCTTCTTCCTCCTTTCCTTCTATCTTCTTCTTCATCCTCTTCTTCTCTTTCTCTTCCTCGACGGCAATGGAGCAAAGCCCGCATATCCACTTGCCGTAGAACTTGTCGCGGACTCGCCGGATATACTCCGGCGTGCACTCTTCTGATATTCTGCAACACTCACAGGTGATGTCCTCTGTGATCAGCTGTAAGAATTTTGAGTAATATTAGTTTTTATTTTTTTGAAAATTAATCATATTTGAACTAAAACATTACTTCTATTCTTGATAATATACCAACAACAATGTCAAAATCTTTATTCTACCACGTGAGATCAGCTACATGAATACTTTTTCTCGATTGTGTCTATTAAACTACAACTTATTTAAAATTTTAGCACTAAATGACCTCCGAAATCGGCGGCAGAACGTCATTGTTGTGGTCTACTTTGTCCCCGCCGAGCTCCAACGAGAGGTCGGACATGGCGCGATGAAGCTTCTTGCCAAACTTGCAGCCATTGTTGGTGCTGAAGAGCTCTCCATTTGGTGCCATTACCTTCTGATAAACAGTGAGGAGTTGAGGACTTAACATAAACATAGAGTAGAAGTGTTGTTTATATATATAAAGAGGGGAAGAATTAATTTGGTGGAAGACTGAAACCCTAATAATTAAGTAGTTCATGGTTTGTGCAGCATGGTGCTTCTCGTGTCAGCCATAGAAAAGCTTGAAAACTCTTGATTTTTTTACTTGAAGGTTGGGTTTCATGTGAGGTCAGGAAAGAAAATGATTCAGGATATTGTAATTTTATTGGAATGAGATATGTTAAGTTAATATGGGATCAACATCATATGTGGATATAAAGATTGATGTGATGTTTGGCCCATCATCTTCTCATATATCAAATGTGTTTGTGTTAGCTAGGAAGAAAATTTATTCTGAATATGATTAAGATTTTATTTGGGACGATGTTTCTAAAATAATTTTTTAATAAATTTTGTACTAAAATGCTACTTCAAGAAGCAGTAGGAAAACAGTCCTAAATGAAGCCTAAGTAAATTGAATCTATTATGCTCAAAAGTAGGGGTGTCAATATTTGACACGACCCGAAAATCCGACTCGCACCCGACCCAAAATTTCGGGGTAGGGGTCAACCCGAACCTGAAATGGGTCGGGTTCGGGTTCAACATTTCGACTCGTTTCAAAAATCGGGTTGGGTTCGGGTTAACCCTTCGACCCGAAATTGACCCATTTTGACCCGAAAACCTGATTTTGACACAGCAACCGGAGATTGACCCGATTTTGACCTGTTTTTGACCAGAAATAGAGAATATTGACCCGTTTTGACCCGAAAACTAGTCATTTTTTCTTGGAAACGGGTCATTTGGGTCGTGTCGGGTTGACCTGGACCCGAAGCGGGTCGGGTTCCACTACGGGAAAACACGCGAATACCGTCAGATTTTTCGGCGGAAAATTCTGGACGGTAATAAACGGCGCCGTTACCGGCGGATTTGCTCGACGTAAAGTTTGCGTCAACGTTTTCGGCGCAAAATACACCGTAAATTCACCGACGCAGGCTCCGCCGGCAACTCCGATAGTATTGGGATGCCTCAACCATTTCCGTCGCACGTTACGGCGGAACTATTCCGGCGTATTTTACCGGCGGATATTGCGCCGGTGTATTTAAACTCAACGAAATATATCCGACGGATGAGAGGTCAGAATCGATACCGACGTCACTAGTGTCATTACCGGCGGAACGTCCGCCGGTAAAAGCCCTATTTCGCAAACCCGAACCGCTCGGCCGTCATTCGTTTCCTTCCATTCTCTCACTTCGACTGCTTCGCCCGTCACCCTCCTTCACCGTTCGTCGCTCGCCTTGGTTAGACATCGCCGACGGTCACCGGACTTGGCCGTCGACGGTCACCGGACTTCGCCGAGCCTCCTTCCTAGTCGCGCGCCGCCGAAGAGATAACCGAAGGTTTTTGTTTTCAATTTTTTTTCTATTTCAGTTGGATTACATATAGATTAGCCTTAACTCCATATCTTTTTGCTATAGTCATGGTTGTTATCACTAGACATTGCCAAGAGGATGTAGTT